GAGTTGCGTGCTTTGAATACGTTAAACGTCCTGCGTAACAGGAGGACTATAAAGGCGTGTATCAGGTACGAGACGAATCATGTACTGGATTGTCGATAGTGAAGATGGGATTTGTACCTCTCGTAAAAGAGAGAGATATCGCTGGGCCCCTCATGTGAGCGAGACTGTAGAAATGTGTGGCCACACTATAGAGGAACGTCGTCTATTTCAGACAGTCGAACTCAGTGAACGAGAAAGCAGTCGAATCAGATAAGATGGCTTGTCCATGCCTTATATTCGACATATGATATCGTGATACAAAAGGATCATCAATTGGAATCATCACTGGCGTTCGTAAGATCACGAACAAACTCTATTTGAGATAGGTAGTCATAGTGTCTTGCTAGAGACCGCCTATGACTTGTATATCCGGAATAGAGATTTCGGGTTATACTGCTATATCGAATGAGCCTACAGGGTCACACATGCAGGGAAGGACAAATGCACAAGAAAACGTCGAGAAATCTGGATAAGTGGTCCGGACCGTCCGGTCTAGGAGTAGACCGAACGGACCGGAGCATCTAGTCCGAATGGACCAAGTTGTTGGACCGAACGGACTAGAGAGCTCAGTCCGAACGGACCAAATGTTGGACCGAACGGACTGACCCATTAGTTCGAACGGACCCAGTTATGAAATTGGTCCAAACGGACAAGTGCCCAGACCGAACGGACTACTAAGTAGTCAGTTCGGTCTGGGGTTCGGATTTAATTTTAAAGTCCGAATCTAGGGTTAATCACTTGAATAAGAGGAGAATTAGAACCCTAACACTAGTGAGCCGACTTAGAGAACGTTTCAGACCCTTTTGGAGAGTCTAGAGGGTTGAAGAAGTCATCTTAATCTCTCTTTCTCAAAGCACATCATCGAATAGAAGATTCGTATCCTAGCAGACAAGTTCCAAAGGTTGGAATCCATCCCGAGGTGTGGATACGTGTAGAGGGCGAGGTATTCTTCCTGCCTATAGTGATTGAACGAACACATCAATTGAAACAGGCCCCGGATCGATTGAGGTAAGCGTTCTAACGTTTCTACAAGATCATGCATGATAGGTTTTGGGGTTTTATCAAATTTTTGTCTTACATCTGCTGCGCAAACCCTAGAACCGATCTCTTAGGAATAGGATTCGCTCATGAGATCCCAGGAAAACCCAACAGTGGTATCAGAG